TCCCGAGTCTACCTCCATCACGCAAGGTTTGTTTTCGATGGCGACCTTTACTCGGATTTTCCCGGCATCAAGGGATGTAGCGTGGCCTATGGTGATTGTTTGGTGGGTCTCTTCCCGCCTGGTTTCTTCACGCCTGGTGGAAGTGGTGGACGGCTTGTTTCTGTAGGAGTGGTTTCCCCATTGGTGGTTCAGTTTTTCTCAGTGTGTGCCGAAGAATCCTGAAGATTGGCATTCGGCCTGTCGGGGTTTGGAGTTTTGTTTGCTTCTGCAAACCTTTGCAATGTGACCTCGTCTCCCGCAATTGCGGCAGAGTGCGTCGAGGAATTTGCAGCTGGATCGTGGGTGATTCGCCCCACATCCTGCACACGGTCGGAATGAGGGTTGTGTGAACTGGTCTCGTTCCGTTCGGAGTCGGTTGACCTCTTCCTCATCGCTTTCTGATGGGGATTCTAGGTCTTCGTGGTGAGTCGATACCGGGTGTCTCTCTGAGCGAGGCGAGGTATCATTGGCGAGTTTACGTAGCGGTGCGTTGGTGCGACACATTCGGGCTGCCGAGTTCTTGGTCGCCTCCGCTGCCGAGGCTTCTTTAAGGGCATCGGTGAGGCTGATGTCCCCCTTAGCCATAATTTTACTCTGGATCGTCCCGTCTTCTAGGCCCAGAACCAGGCGGTCCCGGAGGGCTTCTTCTAAGTCGGCGAATCCGCAGAGGCCTCCAAGGTTGCGGAGGTCCGCGATGTAATTGGCAAGGCTTTCGCCCTTCCGTTGGTCCCTCTGGTAATATTCGTGTCTTCTGACTAAGGTTGGCACGGTGGGCGCGTAGTGAGCCTGTAGTAAAGGCTCGAGGACGTCCCAGTCCATCTCTTTTACCTCTGCTGGCTTGGCAAGTGATTTTGCCATTTTAAACACGGTAGGCCTGCAGTGAGTTAGAAAGATAGCTCTTTTTTTGCCGGTTGTTGCATCTTTCAAATTGTTGGTCTCCAGAAACATCTGGAACCGATCCATGTATGCCTCCCAGTCTTCGGTTTCTGGGTTGAATGGAGCGGGTGGTACGGCACCGCTGGCCATGTTGCCGTTGATGGTGCGTGTTCGACCACGTGCTCTGTTGGTTGCTCTGTAACTCAGTCAGCTCTTCGGTCTCCGTATCCCACCCTCGTCGCCAGTGTTAATTGGGGAATAATGGAGACCAGACATCTGACCAGTGACTTCAACTCTTTAATAATCGTAAATAGAACAGAACAGAGCAAGGCTATGGGCAACAGCAACCCTTTTATAGGGTTATCTGCTACCCTATTAACCAATGACATGTGCAACAAGTTCAAACTTATAACCAATGAGAAGTGTCAAAATAGTGGCCAATCAGGGACTACTTATGGACCAATCCCTAGTTGTTGTATAAGGGCCAATCAGGTGTGCAGGTTTTCCAAACCCTGATTTGCATTTATGCTAGTAACTTTTATTGATTCAGTGGTGGGATTGGGCATTGAGGTAGCGGTTGGTGTGTGTTTTCTTCTGGTATATGGTGTGTCCTAGTGTGCCATCTGTTTTTTTGTAGATTAGTACATCTAGGAATGGTAGTTGTTTGTTTGTTTCTGTTTCCATGGTGAACTTGATTTTGGGGTGTGTGCTGTTTAGGTGTGTTAGTAAATTGTTTAGGTTTTCTTTTCCATGGGGCCAAATCACAAATGTGTCATCGATGTATCTTAACCATAGTTTGGGTTTGTGGGTGGCATTAACCAGGGCTCTAGATTCGAATTCTTCCATGAACAGGTTTGCAATGACGGGTGACAGTGGTGATCCCATAGGGGCTCCTTCAATTTGCTTGTATCTTTGTCCTTTGTATATGAAATATGTGTTGGTTAAGCAGTGTTCTGTTAGTTCCATGAGGTGTTTAGCTGGTTGGTATTTATTTTTGATGATTTCAAGAGTTTCTTTTATCGGGACTTGAGTGAATAGTGAAACCACGTTGAAACTTACAAGCAGATCTTCTTGTTCCACGTGTAGATCTTTGATCATTTCCAAGAAGTGGTATGAGTTTTGTACATGTGAAGCTGCTGTTTCAGCATGGGGCTGTAGCTGTTTCGCTAAGTGTTTCGCTAGGTTTTGTAGTGGTGCTCCTCTGGAGCTGACTATGGGTCTGAGAGGTATGCCTTCTTTGTGTATTTTTGGGAGGCCGTATAGTATGGTCCATTTCTTAGTTAACAACTAATAGTTTTCAGCATTTTTTAAATTTCCAAAGTTACACGTTGTATTATTCTATTTGCTGTGCAGTAAATTTAAACATTTAAAAATTAAAAATTCTATATAATTTCTCTACTGTTATTATTTTTAAAACCCATACCTATTAACCTGCATTATAATGATGAAGATAATTTTCAGAGACCACTTGTGTATACAGATAGTCCTTAACTCATGACCACTTAGCTACAATCAGAAGTTGCCACAGACTTATGATCTGGTTCTGAAGTTAAAATGGCCGAGTCTCTCCCCCCCCGCCCCCCGGTCACATGGTCACATTCTATCTAGGCTTTCAGCAACCTGGCTGCATTCATGGCTGTATGTTATCATGGATGTATACATGTAACTGCATTTGATGAAGTTTTTGTCAAAAACCAGCATATACTTTCCTTTTGGCAAAATGGCTCATAATGAACAATTGGTTCACTTAATGACTGTGGTGTTTGTTGAAACTGTGTGGCCATTGCTTTCCAACTATTGCACTTGCTTAATGACCACCACAAAAAGGTCATAAAATAGGTTGATTTTACGACGATCAAGACTTATTACCAAAATAGGCATGCTCCATTGCAGTTGTAAGTTGAGCATTATTTGTATGCAAGGCATACTATGTTGGGTCCTTCACCATTATCTGTGTTTTATTATGTGAAGCAAGCCAGTGCTGCAGTGTTGGCTTATTTTCTTGAGAGTAAGACTTACTGAGTTTGATATAATGGATTCAGAGTATTGAAATGGGTCATTAGCATGTTTTTTTTTTTTAAATAGACTCTGTATGCTTGTTCCCTGTATATTCTTCACCTTTACAATACATTGTAATTTTCCGTGTTGTCTTCATTTTTGTTTTGTTTCAGATTTGTATTCATTTCAGGACCAACTAGAAACGAGTCCCTCTTTCCCAGCATGTTCTGAAATCAGCAGCAGATGTGCAAGCCTTAATAAGAATCTTGTCTTTTTCTGCTTTTCCCCCTAGGAGGGGAAAGGAGCAAGAAATGAATGTAATCATTGATTCTCTCTAATCCATCTCACGCAGTTATTGGAACACAGAAAGCTTACATAACAGTAAATTCAAATGATTTGAGAATAATTTGTACATAATGAAACAGGTTAGTGTCCAGTTTGTAATTCATTAGTGGGTGGCCTCTATTAACAGATCAATTTAATATTTATTACTATCAATTTCTAAGGCATGTACCATTTTAATTAGATAGATTTATAGTTTAAGAAACCAAGGATCACATATTCACTTAGAAAAGTTTGAAAAACAAAAGTAGATTAAATAGAATTCCATAAGCATAATACTATAAATACACTCTCATAATTATATTGACCTTTCAGGATCATCAGGTACATACAGTATAAACTAGCTGAAGGAGATGTGCAAGGTGGCATTTAAACCAAGGAACATGCAAAGGTTTTGAATGTTAGTTAAGTAGTTACGCAACTTAGTTAAACTAGGGACTATTCAACTTTCTATTATAAGGTAACGATCACCATTTTAGGTTTACCAATCTATTATTAATTCTATAAATATCTTGCCCATTCTTAAATTAGTTTAGGATTACTGTACCTAAGTTCTAAATTTATATTTCTTTATAGCTATGACTTTGCTATATACTACCTATAGTCATTTAAATGCTAATGTTAATAGTTTCTTCATTGTTTTAATTTTTAAAATTTTTTAAAATCCATACCTGTTATATTACATCAGCCTTTAAATTGATATTACGCATTATTTATAAAAAAAAATTCACACTTTATGGTCAGAATGTCACTGTAATATGTAATTTCCTGATAATATACATGCATTTCCTGAAATAACAAAAAACTTAGTAAGTATGCTCACTTCACAAATATCCAGGCAAAAATGATCTTCATTACTGAACTGATTAAAATTAATCCAGCAGTTAATTTTAGTTCTAAGTTATCTTTGTTGATCATTCTGTTCTCTTGTGCAACCTTGTAAATGTTTATTTAATTTTAACAGAAACAGGTGCACAGTACATAGTACATGTGTAAATTGTGTTTTTTTCAAATAAGTTTAATATTACTTGAATGAAGGATAGGCATGAAGCTAATATAGCTTTATTTCATACTTGCAACTTTATCCTTGAGGTTCAATAAACCTACCATAAAAATCTGGAAATCCAGACAAAATAAGGAGATGCTTGAAACACAACATATATTTAGTACATGAAAGAGATCATGCTGCAAATTTTATAGGATGGACTTTTTAATTTACATAAGATGGAAAAATAACTTTATAGCATATTTTCTATAAATATATACATACATAAAACATTAACTTATAAACTATATCATTCGCTTCCATTAATTAAAAGAGCCACATTTTAAAGTGTTAAAAATACCACATTGGAACTGTATTAACCAATTAATAGCCACAATGATGTTTCCTTACTAATGATTCATAGCCCCTTACATTTTTATCCAGTTGTTTCTCTGCTGATAACACCGTAATAAGAATAAACTTTATATTGCTTCACTAAAGGTTGGGTGACGCTAGAAGTTATAAAATTCCTTCAGGAAGACATGGCTATAGTATTCAACAAATGCCTGTAACATTTTTTGCAAACTCCCAATAAGATACTTCAGTGGTGAAATCGCATCTCTGAAAGAATTATTTCATAATTATTATCAATTATGATAAAACTCACCAGATATTACTTTTCACTTTTAGCCTCTGGTTACACTTTGCACCTGAAATCAATGCAAAGGGCTGCATTTAGCTGGATTTTGTTTCTGGGCTGATTAGATAAAATTTGCTTGACAATGTTTAAAGTCCTTTTTATCATGCTTATTGTCTTAAATAAAAATGAAAGTCTCTCAAATGAAGGCATTCAAATGTCATTCTCCAACTCTTTCCAATACAGTACTGAAAATCTGAAAGGCTTCCTTTAAAACTGGTGAACATTTTATATTAAAACAAAACATGAAAGAAAGGAATTTAATCCAGTTAAATAAAAGTGTCCAAAGTGCAAACTGGTATGTCGCATATTTTTCAATTACGAGAAATCCACTGTGAAACAAATAGAATAAGCTGAAAATGAGATGAAGAAAAAGGAAAGTCACACATGGAAAAAAGGAACAACATCGCAATAAAGTAGTTGTGCTTATAGCAGCAAGTACTCAAAACTACTTTGAGAACACAGAAAGTTTGTATTACGAACTGAATGCCTAATGAAAAGCTAAATTCTCCCAAGCCAAAATCTGTAACCAAAAAATTTATAAAAAAAGGGGGGGGGGACAGGAGGAGAATGGGGCTGCATAGTAGTTAAACTTAAATGGATAATTTGGCATGGGCAGATAGCTAACTCCTTCAATGTTCACAGAGACTATGTCAAGACTGTTACATAGAATTGTTGTCCAGTAATGTTAACAAGGTGAAAGCTGTGAATTAGAAATATATATATAACAGTGGAAGCTCCCAGACAAAATACTTGTAGAAGTTTAATATCCCTCCCAGTTCATTTGATCTTGATCTTCAACACAGGCAGCGTTACGTCTATACAAAAAGAACAGACCAATCATGTTGAATTTGGAAAAAAGTAGTAGTAGAACTGAAGTCCTACATAAATGCATCCCAAACTCCATTTCTGTGCACACATGGGATTCACATTATAAGTCAGTGTCAAATACTAACATTGCTCTCATGGCATGACAATTAACTCTCAGGAAATGAAAGAAAAATATTACTTCAGAGTTCATGCAGGCAGTTATGAATTAAACAGCATCTGCATAGGACTCCCCCCCCCCAAAAAAAAATTCATAAACAATTCTTTGCAGTTTTTAAAATTACTGTCTCTTTTCTCCTTCCAAAATGAATGTTTCCTATATTTTCTGTCTGGAAGAGTCACACGTTGGACTAACATGCTGAAGTGCCACACCACTTTGAGACTGCTGAGATTTGTAGTCCGATATGCTTTGTGCAGCATAGCGTTTCTTCACCAGGTAGCAGATAATAACTACCAACATCACAACCGTAAGGGTGACGCTAACAATGATTGCAACCAATGTCCCTTGACTCCTGCCATCCTTTGGTGGGGCAAAGGAAGGAGGAACAGTTGATTTGGGATAAATTTCAGTTTGACCTGAAAACTCCTCTGGTTCTTCTGATGGCGGCTCACAGAAGCTGTCGGCTTCTTGAATACGTCCATCGGGACAGATGCAGCTGTAACTGCCAGGTGTATTTATGCACTCCAGGGAACCACAGAATTCAGACTCACACTCGTTGATGTCTATGCATACTTTCACACCATCTATTTTCACATCCAAGATAAAGTTTTCCGGACAATAGCATAGATCTAGAGTGTGTGGGTCACACTGTGCAGGGCATTCATCCTGGTCACAGACTAGGAGACACTTATGAGGACTTTTGGGGTCTGGAGTATATCCCTCAAAACATGTGCATTTATGCTCTCCATTAACAATGTTGCACTCATGTTCACACGTTAAATCAAAGCACGCCCATTTGTCTGGAAGGCATTTGTCCTTCATCAGACTGTAGCCTTGCCAGCAGCGGCACTCAAATGCGCCCTGGGTGTTAATGCACTCCTGTTCACAAAGCCCTGGTGTGGCCTGACAGTCATCGATGTCCAAGCAGCTCTTGCCATCGGAATCCAGCTTATAACCCTCAAAGCACATGCAGACTCCAGAGTCACCCTGAGGCGCACAGTGCTGCTGGCATCCTAAACTGGCACAGGGGTACCAACAGCTCCGTTGGTCCTCCGACAACCTCTTGTCTTCCAGGCAAGCGCAGTAGGGTCTCCCTTGCTCGTCCAAATGACACTGGTCGGCACAGCCCCCATTTTGCAACTGGCAATCCCAGGCGCCGGGCGCGGCTGAACCCCACTGGAAAGTCCCGTTGCTGCCCTGCGCGCGACACTCCAGGAGGGCGCCCAAGCTCGCCAACTCCGCCGTAGTGCCCGGCGGAGAGGCCACCAGATCGCTCTCCCGGGCGCCGAAGGGCGTGAGGTAAGTGACCGCGAAGGCGTCCGTCAGGGGCCCGCAGGTCCCGTTCGGATAGCTGTACTCGCAGAGGACGGCTTCGGCGGAGGCGTTGCAGGCGCGCTCCTGCCACTTCAGTTGGCGAGTCACCGCCACGCACGTGGGGCCGCAGGTGGGCACTTTTGGGTCGGACCCGTTGCTCGCCCAAGCGTCGAAGTCCGTCCACTCGTCGCCGGTGACCCACTGAAATCCCCGCAGGCGTTTCGCCGGCTCGACGCAGCGGTTCTCGGGCAGGCGCAAACCTAGCCAGGCGCTGCCGGGGAGGTCGCGCAGCAATAGCAGCGCTATGGCCTCGGCCGCCACCGTGGAGCGGACCGTCATGAGGTGTCCGCCGCCTTCCTCGCACACGCCGCCCGCCTCGGCGAAACTCCGGGAAGTGCCGAATAAACCGAAGCAGGCGGAGCCCAGGCACTGCGCGCCTAAAGGGATCGGCGCCGGAGACGGTACGGGCGACGCCAGCCCCGCTCTCAGGCTGCCCATCGCCACTAGGAGGAACCACATGTTAGCGGGCGATGACGGCGAGCGCTCTTCGAGTGAAACTGGGGTGCCCCGTCGTCGCTTCCCGTTCAGGCGGCCCCAGCATTTATAGCGCCTTCCACGCCAGGGGAAGCGAGAGGAGGAGGAGGGGAGAAAAGCGGGAGAAATAAGGGAAGCGCCGCCCGCCCAGGAGGAGATCTCCCACTGGAGCAGAGTCAGACTCTCACACACTCACACCCAGCTGGATGCAGCGCTGAGAAGGGAAGCCAGCCAGCCCCGCCTCCATTTCCTCGACTATCGGCGCAGGAAATTGAGGCTTCCACCCGATCCTTCTCAGTCCGGAGAAGTGGCTGCTGTCAGCAGCCGAATGCTAGATTGCAGCCACAAAGTTAGCTAGCTTTCTTTTGGCTCTTTAGTTGGGCTCCCCACTTCTTAAAGTAGCATCTGACCACTCACTGCCAGCAACTGCATGGAACCAAAGGCAATCTTTGTCCAAGCCTGGCACCAAGTTGCAACCCCTGTCCTTTAAATGCCCTGGGGGTGTGGAAGTACTTTCCTGGCTGAGGCATTTGCTCGGTTCTGGCATGTTCTCTGTGGTTGCTGCTGCAGCTGCTTCCAAAAGAAAGGAAAGTTTTCTGAGGGTTTTAGATGTGGAGAGCAGAAGATGTCCAATAAACTTGAGTGCTCAAAATGGAAAAGCCAATAATTGAAAGATAATGTGCCTATAAAGCACTGTAGGTGCCTTAGTCTTAACAGTATCATAAATCCTGGAAAATCTTCTTGTGACAACAAAGGAACTCTGTTTATTCTGCATTCAAACCCACCAAACTGCTGCTTGAACACACCAGTTCACTCAAATACTTCCCAAAATGTTATGGCAGAAATTAAATAGATTATGCTTATGTATTTGATACTGTATGTTTATTCAGTGATCATGTCACCTGTAGAGAGTAAAGAGATTGACTTTGTTGGAGAGAGGGAAGATCTGTTCCCAAGGCAACAAATAGGTAAACACTGCTTAGGCACCATCTGAAATACATAGCTTTCAGATAAGCATCCTCGTAGGGCTGTCAAACTCACGGCCCATGGGCCGGATGCGTCACGGGCTGGCCACGCCCACACCTGGTTTAGCAAAGAGGAAAAAAGTCACGATACGTCACATGACGCCACCACGACTCCGTGAATTTGACACCCCACTACTGCATACAGTTTTGGTCACCACGATGTAAAAAAAGATGTTGAGACTCTAGAAAAAGTATAGAGAAGCGCAACTAAGATGACTAGGGGACTGGAAGCTAAAATTGAAAAACAGTTGCAGGAATTGGATATGTCTAGTTTAATGAGAAGAAGGACTAGGGGCAGTGGTGGTATTCAGCCGGTTCGCACCGGATTGGGTGAACCGGTAGCAAGAATTTGGCATGGGTCACCGAACCGGAAGTAAGTTCTGGCTGGCCACGCCTCCCACCCGGTCGCCCTCCCCGCCCGCCTGCCTGATATTCGCCTGAGGTATTTCTTTTTTTTCCCTCCCAATAATCAGCTGTAGATAAAATCAGCTGTGCCGAGATTCCCCTTGCTGAGGCCCAGGAAGGCAAAAAATTGAGGGAGGAGCTCAGCCCCCCCTCCATTTTTTGCCTTCCTGAGCTCCAGAGGAGCCTTAGGGGAGCAAAAACGCACCTCCCGAGGCTTCTCTGAGGCTAGGAAGCTCCCAAAACGGAGGTTGGAGGGGTGCTGCGTGCCCCACCCATGCTCTGTTCCTTTTCTTCCAGAGCCCCAGAGGAGCCTTAGGGGAGCAAAAACACCCCCCCCCCCCCCCCCGCAGAGGCTCCTGTGTGGCTAGGAAGCTCCCAAAAATGGGTGGGGGCTGCAAAAAAAGCCACACCCACCCAGTCACATGGCCACACCCACCAAGCCACGCCCACAGAACCAGTAGTAAAAGTTTTTGAATCCCGCCACCGACTAGGGGCAACATGATGGCTTTGTTCCAATATCTCAGGGGCTGTGAGAAAAAGGAAGGGATCAACCTATCCCACAAAGCACTTGAAGGTAGAACAGAAAGCAATCGATGGATACTGATCAAAGAGAGAAGCAACCTAGAACTAAAGAGAAATTTTCTGATAGTTCAAACAATTAATACGTGGAATGACATTTTTAAGACGAGACTGGACAACCATTTATCTGAAATGGTACATAGGGTTTCCTGCCTAAGCAGAGGGTTAGACTAGAAGACCTCCAGGGTGTCTTCCAACTCTGTTATTCTGTTCACTTGAATCTAAAAGAAAGAGAAGGGGAAGCACATTCAGACTTGCAAGATTGTTGTCAACCCTAGGAGGAAGACTAGACCACGAAGAGTTCAACTAGGCCGAAAATTATTTTTATAAAGATTGGTGATAGTAACAGAAACTCGCAAGTATAAATTTCCAGTGCTTTTTTTCCTTTTGCATGAATTGGCAATTACATTGTGGAAAATTTATCAAAATATTTTGGAGTCTTCTAGATTAGCTCTCTGGTCTTGGCCATTTCCAGTGTTATCTGAAAGGGACTTACTGGAGAGACTGTGCTTTCATGAGCATGTTGATAAACAGGATGACCCTATGCAAAAACAAAACAAAACACCCCAACCTTTAATCAGTCCACAGCCCTTCCTGATTAATCAAAAAATAGCTTTCATTTTTTTTGCTATATTGTACTAGTAGTTTGCATATAATTGAAATGGAACTTTTATCCAAAATTATTACTATTAATGAAGTAGAATCAGTTTGATGTAGTGACCAAGCTAGAAACCGGGAGACCATGAGTTGTATTTCTGTCTTAGGCACCGAGCCAGATCTGGCTGATCTTGGACCTGTTGCTCTCACTCTGCCTTAGGAAGAAGCCAGAGGAAGCACAAGCTACTCCTCAACTTACCACCACAATTGAGACTAGGACAGCGGTTGCCAACTGGTGGGCCACGCCCCATTGGTGGGCTGGGAGAAAATTTTGGTGGGCCGCACAGAAATCTCACCCCCAGAGCACCCCCCCCAAAGTAATTAATCCAGGCTGCGCAGAAACACAAGGCTGCGCCGCCCACATGGCCCGCAGGAACCCTCCCCACCCACTCACTCCTTACCTGGCAAACTTACCTGCTAAATTGCTATTTTTCCTTTTTCTGACCATCATCTGTTCTGCTGTGCCAATAGATTTAGATTATCTATAAAGCAGGAAATGGTTGGATTTCTTGCTTTCTAGCTAGTCTTTAGATCTTCAGCTCTGCTTTTAAGCACAGCCGAACCTCCCTTAGGACTGAAGGTCCTATTATTCAGTGCAGACTCACGGCAAGCAAATTTGAGAGATTGAGCTAGCAGATGGCAGATAGATAGATCACTGAATGATTCTGTGAGCAACTCAATCTGCCTGCCTGCCTTGCCTGCTTTTGGGTAAAAGTTTCTCTTTTTTATAAAAATTTCAATATTTATATAAATATTTATAATATTTACATACAAGCCATGCCCAGCCAGTCACATGACCACCAAGCCACACCCACAAATTAGGCCACACCCACAGAACCGGTTAGTGGTCCCTGGAATTTAAAATTATGAGTTTGGTGGTCCCTGAGGTCCAAAAGGTTGGCGACTAGAATTTCCATTGCTAAGCAAGGCAGTTGTTAAGTGAGTGGTGACCAATTTTGTGACCTTTTTTTGCCATGTTGTTAAGCAAACCACTGCAGTTGTTAAGTGAATCGCATGGACATTAAGTGAATCCAGCTCCCCCCCCATTGACTTTGCTGTCAAAAGCTGGCTGGGAAGAACACAAATAATGATCACTTGATCCCAGAACTCAGCAACTATTGTAAATACGTGCTGGTTCAAAGCCCTGGAATTTTGATCGCGTGACTGTGAGGATGCTGTAACAGTTGTAACTATGAGGCTCAATCATAAGTCACTTTTTTTCAATGCCATTGTAACTGGTCTTTAATGAATGGTTATAAGTCAAGGACTACAAAAATCTTGCCAAAAAAACCCTGCATGTATATGTCCAGGATAGTTTCCAGAAGTCAGTGCTGACTTGAAGGAACAATGTCTAGGTAGCTTATGACTTACAATCATTCATTTAATAACTATTTGAAATTGTGAGGCCACTGGAAAAAAAGTGACTGGTTCTTACACTATGAGTGTCACAGCATCCCCATAGTCACATGAGCAAAATTTGGACCCTTGGCAACTGGTATTTATGACTGAATGTCCTTAACAACTGTGCGATTCAATTAGCAACTGTGGTGATTTAGTGACTGTAACAACAACAACAAAAGATTACGAAACTGCACACAGCTCATTTAAACAACCACATCACTTAGTGATGGAAGTTCTGGCCCCAGTTGGGTCATACATTGAGGACTGCCTGCATCTATCCGGATAAAAATGGGATGATAAATAAAATGCCTTTTGGTGGTAATGGTGGGAGATTCCCCCTCTAAGGAGCACCCCTGGATGTTTCTCATTTCCACCCATCAAATTACCAACAAACAAACGGTCCTGCAGAGAGGCGGAGGAGATCCGTCCTTGCAACAGCCCAGCCACAGCTTCTTTTGAAAATGGATGCTTCCACTGGTCTGAATGGTTTTCTACGTTCTACCTAGTGCTGCAGGCAGAGATGGACCTCGGTGACAGGAAGGACTATCTGTGATGCCTTCACAGATGAAGTGAACAGGGATGTTGGGAGGGAGGGTGAAATCATTTTCATCCTTCACATTTTTTTCTGGAATATTAAGAAACATAGCATTAAAGGTAGTCTTTATTTAGTGACTACCTCATACAGCAGAAGTGGGGAACTATGGCCCCTTTAGGACTTGCGGACTTCAACTCCCAGAATTCCTCAGCCAGAAACCCACAAGTCATTAAAGGGCCACCGTTCCCCACCCCTGTCATACAATGTCGGTTCACAGTTACGGCAGTGGTACAGATGTGATGCAATGTGACTAATGCCAACATTTACAACCTTCATATGTCTGCCAAGCAAAGCGAAGTAAGGTCATAAGCACAGTCAACAGTTTCACATAGCGACCGCTTAACTTAGTGACTGAATTGGCAGTCCCAAATTGTGTGGTCCCTAATTGAGGACTGCCAGTAATAGAAATTCCTCTATTAATATGTCTCCTCCCACCCTTCTTGGTAGAAAAGAACATGACTTCAAAGAATGCAATTAGCATTGCATGTAGTAAGATTCTTAGAAGCAAGTTATGTTTTTCAGCAGAATATGTATTTTCCGTGGTTGTACTGGTGCAATACTGTTGGAAGAAATGTCCATCTGGGTTCAATTCCAAGTGGGGAGAAAGACACTGGAAACATGGAGGCTGCTTAGAAGGATGGCTTAATGGAGCAGAACCATTAAGCACATGGTCCTGGTGCAACTGAACATATGGAGTGGAGCAGTGGTGGGATTCAATTTTTTTTATTACCGCTTCTGTAGATGTGGCTTGGTGGGCATGATGTGGCTTGGTGGGCGTGGCAGGGGAAGGATATTGTAAAATCTCCATTCCCTCCCCACTCCTGGGAGAAGGTTACTGCAAACTCCCCATTCCCTCCCCACCACACTAACCTGCTTTCCAGCTCCGTTCTCCTGTGCAGGGCAACAAA